TCCATTTATTTCAACAAAGTAACTGTATTCTGAATACCACCTTTTTAAACGGTAACTGTAACGGAATACAGTTACTCATATTTTGTATTCTAAATACGTAACGGCGGTACATGTATTCCGTTACTCCCCAACACTGTTCATAATGCCTGCTGATTAAAACTCACTTCCACCTGTGAGCTCCACAAAGAGCAGTGGATTTTATCACATGTGACTCTGCTTCAGTCACATCCCAGCAATGAATTAAAATCATTATGGTTTAATTTAAATTAATATAAAAAGTGAAGATAGAACACATGATACAAAAATCCAAAAGGTAGTTTGATTTCATCATAAAAAAAAATAGATACATTCAGGTGTTTAAATTACACAGAGAGGCAGAGTTTACACACTGTGTGTCTTTGTCTGCTCAGCTGTTTGCAGGTTTACCTCCATGTCAGTGTGGAGCTAAACTAGACAATAAAGTGCTGTGTACTCTTTTCTGTCAGGATAAAGTATAAGACAGTCTGTACACTGAAGTCCAGCCTGAGCTCTGAGGAAAAGCAGCAACAACACAAACAGCTTAAAGTGCACAAAAATCTGGAGATTCATGTAATAATTAAATAAATTCCCGTAGGGATCAATAAAGTATTCTGATTCTGATTCATGTAGGCTTCATTAAAGAAGTGAAACTGGCTGAGAGACTGAAGGCTATTTTGAACTACTGGAAGCATCTGTGATTGTAATTAAACTCAAACATATGTTCAACATGAGTCCTGTGTGGGTTTCTTTTTTCAAACTAACAATGAAACTGTTTTTGTGGTTTAAAGTTTCAAAACATTTAACACAGAAAAGACCACAAGATGTGGACGACTGCATCTAACTAAACAGACTCTTAAAACGATCCAACCAGTTCACATTGAATGCATCTGGTGAGCATGTCATCACAGTGTTGTCTTCAGTGCAGCAGTACTGCTCCTGCAGATGCTTCCTGTCAGATTTCTGTCCTGTAGACTTATCACTCAGACAGGCATCAAGGTGCACGGTGGCTTTAAACCTGGAAGAGAGGAGCACCAGGGACAGAGCCAAGCAGACGACAGAGAACGGGACACTTTCTCTCTCTCCTGGGACGATGAACGGGATGACGATGCGGTTTCTTCCTGGTGGACCATATTTTGTTGAGAGAGACTTAAATCTTTCCCACATACCATCATCTTCCTGCAGAGGGCTAACACTGATATTTGGGATCATGCGTCCTCCAGCTTTCTTCAGTGAGTTCCAGTAGTTTGGGAGGTTCAGGGGTTGATATTTGTCAAGAGGAATCTTGTCGCCTTTTTCTTTTCTACGGTAAAAAACTCTGTGCTGTGGCCTCATTTTCCCTGTTGCAATGCCATAGGTTACATCAGGTGTGGTGGCACAGTTCCAGGGAGAGTACAGGACCAGGTCAGTGATGGTGGGCAGAGGCAGCAAACACTTGGCTGGGATCATGGAGTCTGTGATTGATCCATGTG